CTGTTAACACTGCCAAAACTGCTAATGCTGTTAACACTGCCAACACTGCTAATGCTGCCAACACTGCTAATGCTGCCAACACCGCCAAAACTGCTAATGCTGTTAACACTGCCAACACTGCTAATGCTGCCAACACTGCTAATGCTGCCAACACTGCCAAAACTGCTAATGCTGTTAACACTGCCAACACTGCTAATGCTGCTAACACTGCCAACACTGCTAATGCTGCTAACATTGCCAACACTGCTAATGCTGTTAACACCGCCAACACTGCTAATGCTGTTAACACTGCCAACACTGCTAATGCTGCCAACACTGCTAATGCTGCCAACACTGCCAACACTGCTAATGCTGCTAACACTGCCAACACTGCTAATGCTGCTAACACTGCCAACGCTGCTAATGCTGCTAACACTGCCAACACTGCTAATGCTGCAAACGAGACATCAAACACGCAGAAGCAGCCGGTGTCCCAGCTACACTTCAAACTGCAGGAGCACAGGTACGTTAGCAGCATTTGCAGCATTAGCAGTGTTAGCAACGTTAGCAGTATTAGCATTTGTTGCAGGATGTTTACGTCACAACAAAAGCTGTGCACCAACATGGCTGTTCTCCATTCTGAAATTCTTAAAAGTAAGTTTTATCATTTATCTGCAATATTTAATATTATTTTTTACATTCAGATTTAGGATTTAACGTTTAAATTGAATATTCAGTAAAAATGAACTAAACGTAAGAACACTGAGCTAAATAAAGTGTTAGAAAGTTTTAACATAAGATTTTTACACTCAGAAAGTGAGCTAAATAATGAAAATGTCTTAGGTTTAACAGATATGCTTGTTTGTGGGCAGCATTGTTAACTATGATTCTGAAAGGAAGTCGGTTATTTTAATCACAGAATCGATTTTCATTTTCTAATTTCTAAATTTTGTTGCCCTTTAGTGGACAAAAACTGGAATGTAATATAAAAAAAGCATTTCTTTAAATTTGCTTACTTGAGAATAACTGGGTTTCTTGTGCATATTTACATCCCAAAGCTTCTTTAACATGTGTTYCTCACAGGTGCAGCGTTCCTCCTTGTCCGACCTCAAGCAAAGCACTTTGCAGTTTTATAAGAAGCCACAATAAAGAGCTCCGAACGACGGAGGAGTTGGCGCTTTACGAGAGCTCCGAGACTCGCTGCRATTTGGACAAAACGCGTTCAAACCAATCACTCGTGGTTAAAGTGTTGGAACGAGAACAACAAAGTCAACGGGCGAGCGCGCAGAAAAGTTTATCTTCATGCGCTGTTAAAGTACATCCGTCAGCTCGAAAACAATCTGGGTTCCATTCACGGCAGGAAACAACAGATTTCTGGAGAAGCTGCCAAGGCCCCATGTTAATCGCCTCGATTAAATTCCCATCAGCTGAAATATTYGATGATGAAAAAACATAACGTGAAGCAGATTTGCGAAGCACAAATTGGCTTTCGAGCAGCTGCGCGGCGCCCGTTGGGAGCTCGACACAAAGTTTGGCAATAAAGGTGCACCAAGTCCGAAAGAGAGGAGTTTCCTCACATCCAGAACTTGGCCCTGAGTGGTAAGAAGATGTTGTTGTTGGCTTGGAAATGGCTCCACATTATACACAGATATTTATGTGAGGAAAAACATGCTTTTTTAAACTTTTTCTTTCCCCCGCAAAAGAACAAAAATCATATGTTTTGGCGTTTCCCTGTGTATTCCTGTCCCGCTCCAAATAAAAGTCAGAGTAACAGATGTTTAAAACTGGAAAACTTGTTGCTAATATAAGTCATCCAAAAACACCAGGAAGCATCCAAACATTGTTCATCTTCATGTGGACRGAACATCTGGAAGATTACAAAGTTTGCTGAGGTAATGCTTGTTCTCCTTCACCTTCAGTTTCCCCACTTAACCGTTTAAAAAAAAAAAACAAACCCAAATCTACATTTAAAACATTTTCACCAACATTTGACAGGCAGCGGGTGTTCACCCAGAAACATCCGCTCAAATGGGCGCGTCGTTTTGACGAGCCGGGCAGCAAAAGTGAGAACTCCAGTCGTACATTTCAACATCAGGTTGATGGAAACGGTTTCTGACGGGAACACAGTGGTGATCCTGTGGTGGTTTCACCCTCTGCTTCGTTTCTCTGAGCTTTTGGACTCAGAAAGTTGTTTTTCCAAACTGCAAATCTGCGACATGACTCRTTTTTTATGTTTGTTTTTTTAAACCCCTTCAGTGCAACTGTCAAGGAGAAATGTGATGCTATGAATGTATACTGAATGAGACCCTTATGTAGCTTTAGCKCTCAGAATTTGACCGATTGTTTCTATTTTTGACAGCCGATAACAATATCAAACTCAGGAAAACCAATATATGGCCTTTTTTTCATATGCTTATTAGGGGTGGGCATAATCGTATCGTGTGCAATTAATCGTCAAAAAACATTAATCAATTATTTTTTGGCACTTGACGATTAATACGATTAATGCCACCAGGCAGAGTCCGCTAAGTGCTCCTTTCTGCTTCCAATATGATGAACATTAAAAAAATCTGTAATTTATTTATCTATCAACACAATTTAAAAAGTGATGTGTAGCCTGACGTCTGTAATTTTGACACAATTTKGAACAGATTTTTATGAAGAGGAAATCTTTCCCACTAAATTGGTCATGTGACTAGGACAAGGATGTCTAGGGACACCAAGGGATTAATCGTCAAACTAATCGTTATCGGCTTAATACCGCAATTAACCGTGATAATTTTTTTGCCAATATTGCCCAACCCTAATGCTTTTATAAATACAAGATTTTCAAGTTCATACACACTTCAAACAGAAAACAAAAATGGATGASACAATGTGGGTCAGTGCTAATAGTAGACTGAACGATCATCAATAGTAAGAGTAGCWCTGTGCTCAGTATATTTTAAGCACATTAGCAGTCTGGCTGACACAGTGGCAAGCTGGGTAAGCAGATTATTCACTCCATTTTAGGGCCGAATCAGCCTGAATAATTGGCCAGTCTTTCCTATACTGGTATGTCTCCATTCCCAATGTTTCCAAATTTCTGGAGACCAACAAAACAAGGCATAAAACCACATTTAAAGTGCCTGTGACATAAAATGTTTGTTGTAAATGTGAATGCATTTTTGGAAACATGACATCGATAATATCTTGCAAAAAAAAATTCACGCYACTGAGATAAACAGCTGTTGAGATATYTGCATGTGAAGTAACAGGAAGTGATGTCAAAGGGGAATGTCTGCATGTAAACAGAGCGTTGCTACAATGGCTAAAATCACAGACTGTAGAGAAGAATCTGATGGTTCTTTAGATTATTTTGAGTTACTATCAAAGAGAGATGAAAAGTCAGAGTTTAAATATTGTTTCAACAAATAAAAAGAACAGGAAGTTCATTCTTTGAGTTCCCCTTTGATGTCACTTCCTGTTTCACTTTAGCTAAGCCGAGTTCAAAAGAAAATATGCCAGTTATGTAATAAAATGTGTAAAATCATGTGCTTTATGCCAAGAAAGTTGTTTTCTTTGAGTTTTTGTATTTGAAAGCTAAGCATGTCACAGGCACGGACAAACAATGAGTTATAAAAGAACCATCTTTGAGTGTGCTCCTGGTTGGTACTCACGTAGGCTCCTCGGTCGCGGTGACTTCCTCCTCCAGCTCTATTGCTTGCTTATGCCACACAGGTTTGGCCTCAACTGGCAGCGTGTCTAAAGCAAATTGCACAGACAKGCTTAACATGGCGTGTAACCACTGAGAAATGAGTGAAAGCTTGGCGGTGAAACGTTCCCCACCCCCGCACCTATGGACTTGTAGCAGGGTACTGTAACCAGACACTCCTCCTTGATGTGGGGTTTGGTGGTGGGGTTGCAGCCTCCGGCGTGGAGTCCTCKGTGATCGATGCACAACACCACTCTGTAGCGCAGACCCTGACCACAGGTCACTGTACACTGGTGGCGACAGGTCAAACGGTCTGTTTAACATAACTACTGTGGTCACATCCGCTTGCTAACAGTTTATAAAAAAAAAAAACCTTCTCAAACTGTAACTCAAGGGAGGTGAGGAGAGAAACCTCCCAAAATCCCATGAAGTCTATGCTCCGGAGCAAACTTTGTTTATCTTCTGCCAAAAGAAACATTTTAAATGCGAAGGAGGAATGTACTAAACAAACAGTACACTGGGTTTTTTAAGGGGACCACAAATCTGGACCTGTGGGCTTTGACAAGAGCCTGTTTTAACTTTAGGGGCTGAAAAATACCAGTGAGGAAGTTGTATGAGACATTTATGGTTAGACTGGTTACTGTAATGGCACCTTCACTAATAAAACCTAAATATGTTGGTCCATGTTGGTCAGACTGATGACTATCTGTGGCACAGAGTAAAATAGGGCAGATGATCTCTTATATGAAGCATTTTAAGCAGTTACAAATCTTGCTGTTACAATCAAGTTGCTGCTTGTTGATTGAACAAAATCACAAATTAAACCTTTTCCTAGGAGCCACAGTTTTAAGTGGCAACACATGATTTATTTGTCTGATCATAAAGATTTTGAAGAAATCTTTGAGCCCAAAGGACAAGGTGGAAAGTCAATATTGGATGCTGTGGTACAAAGAAAAGAATAGAAACAGCCTTTACTGTCTGGCAGAGGGGAAATATTGGGCCTCATGCAAGAACATGTTCATATTCTTATCCTAAATTTCTCTTAATTTTGTTCGTACAAAGGGTTCGTAC